GGCCGCGCAATCTTCACCGATCTGGTACACTTGAAATGTTCCTTGTATCTTTGCTTTCCGATCGATATGTTTAAGAATTGATGTTTTTAAAACAAATTATTGCCTGAATATTTTGTTTATTATCTAGTTTGTTTATGTGTTCTACTCGATAACATTTGTTTTGCGGAACACCGGCCCGATGATTTGTTCATTTGATGATAAGCAATTGAAATGTACGCTCAGATAAGGATAATCTTTGTACTCATACGTTGTGTGATTTTGTCACCAGCCAGGCGCTATTGGTACGTATTTCTAGGTTTATATAAGGCGAACTGAGAGAACAGTAATAAAATGTTTGTTTACAAATTTTGTTTGCCGATCGGTGAGTGCTTTGTTAGGGTGGGTACGACCTCGTAAAAATACACGTTGGTAAATGTTTCTTTCAAAGCAGGACAGGGCTGTAAATCTTATTCTTATCGGCTGCAACATATATCTGAGGAGTAGCAAAGAATAAACTTGAATCATGGGGATATATAAAACCAAACCAAATGCCCGGAAATACTCTCGCGTCGCGAACAATGAATTTGAATTTTGTAAATTTACTTGCGTGCATCTAATTCGCTTCCGATTGGTTTAAAAACAATCAGCCACTGTCAGAACTCACATATGCGCATTATCGTGAACCAGTCCCTTTAACTGTGAGATCAGCATATGAGAAAAAGACGTCGGTGTTATCAGTAAATAGTATAAACTTAAGTAACCTTGATATAGAAGGAAAAGTAAATGGCCTAGGATAAAACCCTGTGGAACATCACATTTATTTGTCTGATACTCAGAGGCCACGCTTAATTTACACTTTTGAGGTACAAAATTGTCATTTACTGATCATGCAACCGATTTTTTTTTTGGCCCGAGCTCCGTATTACGGGCAAAATTAAGCGACGAAATTCACTTTTTTGGCTCTTTATTGCCACATTCATGGGACCTAGGTCCCACAGGAAGTGACTTAGGACTGTTTCCAGAGAACTCAATGCACTCGCATAACTAGTTCAGTTAACCAAGATGGAAGACGTCTATTTCTGGTCAAACTAGAGCCGAAAAAACCGGATGCTCTCATAGGATAACGAATTCGACGACATAAAATTTCAACACATTCGCACTGAAGGAGTTCGCGTCGCACGAAATGTGCCCGCGAGAAACTTGAGTATGATTGTAGGTAACTGAAGTGTTAACAGTTTTGACACTGAAATCCAGACGTGACAAAAATGGGCGGAAGAGGGTCGTCAAAGAAATGCTAACAGGCTCTCTCTCCCTTTTTTTTCCGCCGCCACCGCTCCCCTTCGCGTTCCGCGCGTCTTATTTTCGCTCTGCTTTTTAATACGTCCCCACTATATCATCTGAGAGCCTGGCACAGGCTATGGGGAGGAGGATAGAGTCTAAAATAATCGTTTTTGCCGTACCAGCTGACTCCAGAGTTAACACAAAGAAAAGTGAAACATTGAGAAATATCAAGATCTTAAGTGTGAGATATCAACGATGTGGGTGATGCGAAAGGTGGAGGTTATACCGGATGTTGTTGGAGCAATCTCCAAAGGTCTGAATAAGTCGCTTCAAAATATTGTATAAGGGTAAGACCAGGGCACGTGCAGAAGGCCGCATTACTAGGAACTGCAAGAATACTACGAAGAGTCCTTGAGATATAAAAGATGGCCAGACTATTTTGACCCTTTGTTTCTAGCTGTAACCCGCTCCAAGGGAATTTTTTCCGGTTGAACAGCAAAACTGAGTATAAGTGTACATAATAATAATAATTTATTATCCATTCAAAATATTTTGAATGAATAATAAATTATAAATATTGGGCTGCACCTGGGCTCCCAAACTAAGATAAAACATTGAGATAAAACATTGGTTTCCCTGTGGTGAGGACGGTCGGTCGGTCGGTCGGCGAGCGGTTGGTGTATGGTCACGTGATTACCAAATTTTCTAGGATGGATAGATTTACTTAGCCATGGAGCTACGCTGCGCGCGCGTGGAGCTCTGCTAATAATAATAATAATAATGATAATAATAATAATAATAATAATAATAATAATAACGAAAGCTATAACATGTTCAGGCAAATTCTAGTATCAATAGAACGCCGTTTTATTTTAGCTCTATCTTGTTTTCAAATTTAGAAAAAAGCAAGAAGCTATGCCTCTTTAGTTTATTCCCTTCTCTTGTTAAGTAGATTCAAGAATTTCGGGAGGGTATGGCTCCTGACTATAATGCGGGGGAAACCGTTGTTTCTCGAACATGAATTTAAAGACGGAAATTTGTATAGATTACATAAGTAAGAGAGGGGGACTAATGAAAAAAAAAGCATGTTTTGTCATATAGAATGCCCCCATTAAATAAGATATGTTAGAGGATATTGCTAAAGGAGGGTCGTTAATGGTCTCCCCTTCGTATTTGAACCAGCACCAGCCAGATATTTACTTCACACTGGCCTTGAAGGCGCCTTACAATTTATCACTGACAATCTCGTCAAAGCTGTCCAGTAAGCTGCTGGCACACAATTGATGGACATCCGCTAGA